TGTTGGAATTCTAATAACACTTTTTCTATCGAAAATAACGATTGCTGTAGTTCTGAGATGTATAAAACGAAATCGTCGGCAAATAGGCTAATTTTTAAAGTGTTATGATTAACTGCGATTCCTTTTATTTTTATAGAGTTTTTAATTTTATTGGCTAAGGGTTCTATAACTAAGGCAAAAAGAAGGGGGAGGAGAGGACAGCCCTGTCTGGTTCCTCGGGAAAGTAAAAAATCCTGAGAAGCAATACTATTTAGAAATACTTGAGCAGTTGGGTTTTCATAGAGTGTGGTGATTACTCTCTGAAAATTTTCTCCAAAATTCATTTCTTTAATAACAGTTTTTTAAAAATTGGGTTCTACACTATCTAGCTTTCTCGATATCAAGAGCCATGACACATGTGTCTGGTATATATTTTTTACAGTATTGGATTATGTTAATAGTTTTACGAATATTGTCCGTAATGTCCCTTCCTGGGATAAAACCTGATTGATTTGTATGTATGTATGAGCTTATAAACTGGTTTAGCCTGGTCGTTAAAATACGTAGTAGTAAATATCTTATAATCACAATTAAGAAGTGATATGGGACGGTAAGATTTAGGTGAGGATGGATTTTTACCTTTTTGGGGGATCACTATTATCCTAGCCTGGTCCCACGTTGGAGGTAGTGTACCTGTCTTAAAAACGTAATTACAAGTGTCGGTAAGAGGTAAGGCTAATGTGTTTACAAACAGTTTGTAATATTCTGCCGGGAACCCATCTCGGCCTGGGGTTTTGCTAGGTTTTAATTGTTTAATTGCTTCTCTAACTTCTTGGGTTGTTATAGGTTTATCTAAAAATTCTCTATGTTCTTGGGAGATTTTCTTAACTAAGTTGTGGGATTGTAAATATTCTGTTATTTTAGAATTAAGTGGGTTTTCTGTGCTGTATGATAGAATTTAACAAAGGTATTTAAAATTTCTTTAGATGTAATTAAAGTGTTTCCCTGTTCATCTTTTTTTATTTTCCAGGATAGAAGTTTCATGAATTTGGGGTGTCGGAACCAATATTTTTGTTTGAGAAATAATAAAAAAATTTGAATCTGTTTATAGGTTTATCTAAGAATTCTCTATGTTCTTGGGAGATTTTCTTAACTAAGTTGTGGGTTTGCAAGTATTCTGTTATTTTAGAATTAAGTGGGTTTTCCGTGCTGTATAACGGGGTGTCGGAACCAATATTTTTGTTTGAGAAATAATAAAAAATTTTGAATCTGAGTTGTTTCAATAACTTCTAGTTTTTTGCGTTCCGTCATTAGTTGTCTGTACATTTTTTTAGAGCAAGTCTTTTTATGTTGTTCTTTTAAAAACTTTATGGTTTTGGTAAGATCATGCTTTAATTGGTTTTGTTTCCTGTTGTAATAGGAGGTTACTCTTATTACAGGTTTCATTGCATCCCAAACCATATCTTGGGACACTCCACAAGAGGAGTTTGTTTTAAAGTACTCCTACAAGTTTGCCTCTATTTCAGCACATGCACTTTGGTTTAATAGGATATTATTGTTCAGAGACTAGTATCTTCTTGTTTTTTCCTCACTCATGTTTTTTAAGGTACATTCTGTCCATGCGTGATCGGAAAAGGTCCTTAAGCCTATATCTGTATCTAAAATTTGATTAACAAGAGAATTAGAAATTAAAATATAATCAATTCTTGTAAAACTTGCATGCCTTGGAGAGAAGTAAGAGTAATCACAGACCCCAGGATGTTGTATTCTCCAAATGTCAACTAGATTGTGTTGAGCAAAAAGAATTTGAAGTGCTGGTGGTGTATTTTGTTGATTCAATCTTGCAAGGTAATGAGGATTATTATGCGATTTGTCCCAGAGTGGGTCAATGATACAGTTGAAGTCTCCTCCAACTATTACATGTCCTTCTTGGAAATTATCTAGCTTTGTTAATACTTCTGTAATATATTGCTCCTGGCCACTATTTGGAACATAGATTGAGACTAAGGTGTAAACTGCGTTAATTAGAAGGCCTTTCAAAAATAAAAAGCGACCACAAGGATTGACTACTTTGTCATGCAGTATAAAATGTATATTTTTTGAGAGTAAAATGGCCACTCCTCTCGATTTGGAGGAACCCGTGGCTTGGATTTGTGTTGGAAACCATTTAGAATTAAACACAGGGATATTCGGTTTTTTGAGATGCGTCTCCTGTATAAATAAAATGTCTGGTTGCATTTTCACCAAAGAGGAGGTTAGTCTCTTCGCTTTTATTCTACTGTTCAATCCCCTACAATTCAGAGAGAATAGTCTAGTAACGGGGCTCAAACGATATGCTCTATCTATTAGTGGAGCAATCCCCTCCTCCAGCTCCATTGCCGTTGCTAACCATGAGGCTAAAAAAGTTTTTAATTCAGACTCACCCTCAGCGGATTCGGGCATCCCGTGGAATTTTAAGTTAGTTTCTTTTAGTTTATTATCCAATGCCATAATTTTTGTTTTAGCCCATTCTTCTGACTTTTGGAGGCACTGCACCTCTCCTTGCATTGTAATGGTGCTTTCAAGGGCTGATTCGGCTGCTTGAGAAACTTTGTTGAGTGTTTCCGTTAATTTTTCGAGTCGGTCTGTGAAAGGCTTGAGTGCTGATCGAATTTGGTTGCCGATGCTGTTTTCCAGATGCAAAATAGTGTCTAGAAATTCTTGGCAGGATAAGGCAAAACCCTCCGCTTTGTTAGGCGTTTCTCCGTCGGCCATTTTGTGCCCGGTAGCAGTCTTCTTTCAGGAAGTAGCTCTTCAAAGACTGCGGGGTTATCGTGCCTCGTTTCTTTTTATTGTTATTTAGTTTTCCCATCGTTACAGTTAGAAATAGGTTGATTTCGTGGGGTTAGAAGGTGAATAAGGAGATGTGGATGGAGGAGCAAAGTTCCTAAGTGTCTGCCATGAAGCTCGGCGACACCACGCCCCCATCTTAGTTTTTTTGATGCTGAATTTCAAGCCAATTTTGTGCAAGAGACTCTTGAGGTCCTCTTCACTTTCTGCCATTAGAGTGGTATCATCTGCATATCTAGGTTATTGATGTTTTCCCGGCAATCTTAATTCCAACTTGTGATTCATAAATGACTTAATTAGAAATGGTTGATATAGCATAATAACCAAAGGATTCTCTGCTCTGTTACAATGCCACTCTAAGAAGTTGTAAGTTGATTTATTCCTTAGTAATGAAATCAGCTTAATCACAGAGTTATGTATTTGTATTTTTAAAGACAGAATTAAAGAAAACTGCTAAGCTATCACCACTTTGTGAACTACATTATACAAAAGCATTCAATAATTTTTTTCTTTCTGTGTCCTATTAAAAGAATACTAACCTCCAAAATCAGTTAAGCAATTTTATTATTTAAAGCATCTACAATACCTAGACGCAACATATAAAATGAAAACACACATGCACAGGTTGGTATGGCTTACAATATAACAAACAAAACCAGCACCCTGCCAGCCAGGAATATAAACTGCCAAAACAGAGCCTGAGTTAAGGGCAACATAAAGATAGTCTTCACTGGATCAGATTCAGAAACCTCTTTTAGATTGCATTCATGCATGTGGGGAAAGTACACTATGTCATACCTGTTTTAATTACATAGCGTAGCAAATTAGTACGATGCATGTCAGAAGAGTGGTTGCCTCTTAACTGGGCACGTCAGTCATCCATACTCATGGCTGCAGATAGGGGGGCACTGCCCCCTCACTGTCTGTTGCAGAGTGAGGGCAGACAGGAACCAGAGAGGTCTTTAGTAAACTTAATGGAGACTATGGGCAAGAGAGAGCAGCAGCTAGTGCTGCAGGTGGAGTCTCCAGCACAGCCGAATGTCACGGCCAACAACTGCAATGGCTGAACAACGGGGTCACTGCAGGCAGACCCATCCTTTACCATCCGTCAGAAGTCTTCTCAACTTGCCCTCTCAGTTGCCTGTTGTCTATAGGAGGGGACAAGGCCCCCTTTTGCCCAACATGCAACCTGCACAAATCAACAAAAAGCTTGAAATAGCACACGCATGCTTTGAGGTTGAATTCGCTGCAGTGTTTTCAGTGGTGACCTCATTTCTAGGCCACTCAAGACATACCCATCCGAAAGAAACAGCCGGGCAGGGGCAGTATAAAAAGCTGACATAAATCTGTCAGGTCAGTTTCATAATGCCATCTACTAATTTAGAGTCCAGTGGCACCTTTAATATTTGAAAAAGTGTGAATGCACACAAAAGCTCATCCCTTGAATAAACCTTTGTTGGTCTTAAAGGTGCCCAACTGGACTCTAAATTTGTTCTACTGCTTCAGAGCAACACAGCTGACTACCTGGATCTATAGCGTCTACAGGTGGCCCCATATGTCCAGGCAGCAGGGGACTTGGCCGTGGTTCTGACTTCTAACACAGCCACCACCTGTGTCAATTAGACCATCTGTTGTCCGTTCATTCTCATGAACCTCCCATGGTTTTGCAAATTAGTGCCAAACTAGATCCAGCAAAGAAGACATCTAGGAGTGAATCTCCCACAAGAATTCTAACCTTGACAGCAGCTTCAGAGACGCCTCAGTTTAGACTCAACTGTGGCATTGGTGGAGGAGCTGTGTGTGTTGGTGGGAGGGGCTCAACCATTTTTCCTTGCATTCCATTTTTTTGGGGGGAGGGGGATACAAATCACCTTCCACCCCTACAGGTACTTGTACCTTTCCCCCCATGTGGCAGTTCCAGGAACAAGGAGAGCAACTTCCAATGGGAAAACAGACCAGAAGAGGAGGGGGTGATATTTTGCTCTCAGGAGACTGGCTTCTGATTTGCAAACTGGGGGGCTGGGGAGGAGTGCTGATATTCACTGCTACCACCTGCTACCACTTCTCTGGTTCTTCCCTGTTTGCAACTCTTCAAGTGTTTCAGCAACAATTCATAAGCTGGGAGGGTTCACCATTATCTGTCCTATCAAATATAGACTGATAACATGCAGTTGAGTTAATCACGTACGCACCTGTTCTGCAAGTGAGCCTCTAATTCGCACCGCTGCAGAGTCTGTTTGCAGTCCTCTTGGAAGGGGCAGAGGACAATGAGCTTATCCAGCAAGTTCCGCACCAGCAGGCTGGACTTCCGGCAGTTCTGGAAAGAGAGTTTTTTCCGATCCATAGGACAGAAGTTGTACTCTTGCATGAAGTTCTCCAGGCACTTGAAACAGTACGTGTGTCCACAAGGCGTGTCCATAGGCTGGAGCAAAGGCTGAAGGCAAATGTGACAAACCAGCTCATCATCCACTTCGTCCTGGAAGTTATAGAGGTGATTGTCTGGCGACAAGTGGGACTGTCCGCATACACGGCAGAGTTCTCCAACTTTGGAAGTGGCCTCTTCTCCCGCAGGCTCAGCCATGGTGCCCAGCATCTGGTGACTTTACATCAGGGGAAGGAAGGCAGTCCCTTTAGGTCTGCTGAGAAGATACTGGCAAAGAGGCGGGGTTTCTAAAACAAAGACAGACAACAAAGCAATCAGTGTTCTGACATCCAAGCCTAGGATGCTTACTAGGAGGTTAGAATCTAATCAGTCTTTCAGGAAGAACAACCATTTCCATTCTTTTCACTCTGCTCCATGACTCTTTGGTAGCATTTTTTATTGTATCTTCCATGATAAAAGACCTCTTCACCAAACAAAAACAGCAGATTGTCTAATCCAAGAATGAGTAGTCTTTGAATGGTGCTCCAGACTCCATACAGGCCTTCTGAAGTGTTTCAATGAGAATATCAATGACAGTAAACATTTGCACACCCAATAAATGATGGGTGTGTCCTACAGGGTTACTAAGGGTGCCTACTAAGAGCTGCCCCAGTCCCAGTTCCAGTCCCAATCGGGTGGCTACAGCGAGGAGAGGGAAGGGAACGAGACCACCCCTTTTGCCTCTTGCATGTCCATGGTACAAAGCACAAAAAACCCCAAAATGCTCTGCTTTGTACCATTTCATGTACACTGGTTCCCCTTCTTTTTTGGTTTTTCTTCTTGCATGTCCATGCAAATCCCTGGACCCCCAGAACAAGCTTTCCTAGGACTAAAGTGGCTCTGGAGGAAGGGGAGGGAAGGAGAGATCCCACAATTCTTGCACCCAGGGATCATAGGATCCAATCCATTCTGGCCCTCAGGGCCCATCCTGCCTCAGTCATTAACCCTTCAGAACACAATACAACTGACCTACCGTACAGGATTTTTGTAAGGATTACCAAGAGTGTGAGAAGCAATGTTTCCTCTAAGCTGTCAACTGTTGTGAGCAAAAATTCTATGTCATGAGCTAAAAAATCTACTAGCATAACAGTTGTGAGTAAAGCTATAACAGAGACTCAACCCCAGGGTATCTGAGGCTCTGGGGGGGCTGTTGTTTGAGGTACAGGCATCAAATTTGCAGCATAACTGCTGGTGCCTCTCCTCACCCCCCCTCCAAAGTTTCCAAAAGATTGGACCAGGGGGTCCAATTCTATGGGCCCAAGAAGAAGGTGCCGCCCATCCTCCATTGTTTCCAATGGAGAGGGGGGAAAGGCACTCAAAGGGACTGTTCCTTTAAGTGCCTGCCTTCTCCAAGCTGTGTGCCTCTGCAGCAAGTGAAGGCATGGTTCACTTGCTGTGGAGTCAGGTGGCTTGGAGAAGGCACACATTTAAAGGGATATTCCCTTTAAGTACCTGCCTTCTCCAAGCCTGCCTTCTCCAGGTCGTGTGGCACAAAGAAGGCAAGCATTTAAAGGGACAGTCCCTTTAAATGCCTGTCTTGTCCAAGCTATGCACCTCCACTCGCCTCTCCCCACCTCCGTCACTAGCTGATTGCACTGGCAGCGGAAGGCCACGGAGGAGCACCAGGCTCCCCCCTGTGACCTCCATCCTTGCCCTGCTCCCCTCCCCCCAACCTCCATCCCTACCACTAGCCGGTGGGAGGCCACAGAGGAGCACTGGTCCACACTGCCACCAGCTTGCGAGCCCAGCTCTGCTGCCCCAAGGGACTTCCCACTGCCGGTGCCATTGGCCAATGGTGAGGATGGAGGTCGGGGGCCACAGAGGAGCACATTGCCGGCTCAAGGCCTTTGAGAGGAGGTGACTCACCTGCTGTTCTCGTGCTGTTCCCATAGAACCCTCACTCTGCACTGAGGGTGGGAAATCTGTGTGCTAGCACACCCTAGCACAGCTTAGGGGGAACTCTGGTGAGAAATATTCTTTAAAGCATATAAATGCATATACTATTCATATTTCTACTGGTTTTAGTAAGTATATAACATTGTTAAAGCAATAAGCATTTCTAGGATATAAGACACTAAAGAGGGGGGGAAACTTAAATGGCATTTCTGGTCTTGATTCCTTAACGTAGCTTAAAATGGGACTACTGTCCACTACTCAACAGTGCCCACAGTTCCAAGTACTGAGAGAGATGTGCTTTATACATGCAGCCAGTGGATGACATTTATTAGCCAAGCCACTGAAAAAGCCAGCCATTGATCTACATTTTAACCATTCAGCATGATGTCATTGTGTGCATTTATGCTAACTTTGCATCTCATAATGCAATTTAAAATTTATTTTTAGTCCGCTGACAGATTTATTACTTGACAGTGACAGGCCTGTCTGAGAAAGGGCACTTTTCAGACTAGTAATTTTGCAATTAGAGACAGAAACTGGGGATTATTTAAGACTGCCCTATTATCTATCTCATTTCCCTAGACCTAGACCATTCCTGAATGACACTGGGAAGGCAATTTTCGGTGATCCTTTAAGCATGACAAATTCAATAATAGTCTTTGTTTTCCAACAGTCATTTCTTTCACTAGGGGTATTTAGGTATTTATTGTGGTGCTGCTCAAGGGTGCTCATCATGGATCTAATATATATAATATTCCTGCACTTGGACTTATTAAATTAAATTTATGTTCCCAGACTGAACCATCCCATAATTGAACAATTGCTTAAAAAAAACCCATCCCATTTACATTGATGACAACACCAAACAGGAATCTTTGCATATGATTATTTTCCAAACTTCCAAAATGTGGTGGCTTTTTTTTTTCCTGTTAAGAAGAAAAAGGATTGAGGGGAAAGAAATGGAGTTCAAGACTCAGTATTTTTTTTACATCAGATCATTTTTATCCTGCTTCTCAGTACAAAGGCAGCTTCCAGTATTAGAAACAGTAACACGGTAATTTATAACTATCGCCACCATCCCAATTACCAAACTGATTGGCAGCACACATCCAGACCTTAAAGCAACAGTACAAACCCACCATCCTAACAGAGAGACAGGACAGGCACACAGACATACACACAAAACACTGGCTCCCCAAAGCTCAGAAACCTCAGTGCCAGGAGAATTTCTGTAGGGAGGAGGTTCCAAAGCCAAGATGCTGCAACAGAGAAAGCCTCATTTTTGTCTGCCTTGCTTCTGCAGAACTTCCAAAGCTGACCTTCACTGAAGGGCAGAGAATGTATGGGAATACCTTGGATCCAGGCCGCTCTATCCTTTGTAAGTAATAAACAGTATACAGAAGTGGAGAGAAAGGAACCGGGCAGGATAGAGGGAGTGGGGACACAAAAAAGGTCTGGAAAACATGCCAAGTGAGACATCACCAATAAGGGAAGGCAGATCGAGAGCCCATTCAGATTCCCAGGTAGTGAGCACAGGCCCAAACGATAGCTTGTGACCAACCAAGCCTTCGACCTAAGCCTACCCGGGCCTCAGAAAGCCTCCGATTTTTATGCTGGTCTGCGACTGTGAAATGGGTGGCAAGTCCCTGACAACGCAAGCCACAACACACGGAAGCAAAGCGCCGCAAGTGGTGCTGATTAAATTCGGCATAAACGGTGCACCATTTTTTTTAGCCTTTACAGAACAAAACAGCGATTGTTCTATTTTTAAAACCAAATTTAGAGTGTGGTGTTTTTGAGAGGAGGGCTGCCACCATTCAGCCCTGGGGGCTGTATTCTGCTTTCAAAAGGGTAAACGTTCACCAGGAAGACAATAAACAAAGGACCAAGGCAGACCAATGGAGTCAAAGTCTATAATGTGATTTCGCCTTCTGTTTTAAACTCTGAAGAAGTGAGCCGTGACTCACGAAAGCTGCCACGAATTTTGGTAGTCTTTAAGGTGCTCCTGGACTCTTGCTCTTTTCTGCTGCTACAGACAGACGAACACGGCGAGCCATCTTTTTAAAAAAACTCTGTTTGTTGTGAGCTGTTTGGAGGCCTATGGTTAGGCAGGAAAGGGGCATATAAGTAATTTTAAATTAAAACATAAAATGTGGGGTGTCCCCCACCCTGCCCTGACCTGGATGGTCCACGCTAAGCCTGATCTTGTCAGCTCTTGAAAGCTGAGAAGGGTCAGCCCTGGTTAGTATTTGGACGGGAGACGACACGTTCAGGGTCACTCGGCAGAAGCAGGCAACGGCCAACCACCTCTGAACATCTCTTGCCTTGAAAGCCCTACGGGGTCACCCAAAGTCAGTTGCGACAACAGCACTTTCTACCCCCCCACACACCTTTCCCCATGTTCCAGGCAATCCCTGCTCAGTCCTCACACTCAATTCTAAGTGATCACATATTTGAAATTTAAATCACTGTGGTGTCAGTTGTCTAAGTGCACAAAGGAACCGCTGAATGTATTTCACAGGTTTGTCTTCAGTGCATAAAAGGAAGTTGCTTCAGCCTTTTAGGAACCCAGACTCGACCTTTGTGATGAAATGCAATCCACACCTGTCTGAAAGGCAGTAAGGTGAATGGCTCTTCTAGGGGTGGCAAGCTGGAACTAGCATGCTGTGTCTTCTGTGACTCAGATCCCAAAGGAGACGTTCCACGTAGGGCACAGCAGCATAGCTCTACTCGATAAACTCCAGAATTAGTTCCATGGCACTGTGTGTGTGTGGGGGGCAAACTTCATTATTCCAATCCTCATTTACAGCCCACTTCAAAATGGTCGGATCCACCCCAACTCCACTCAGTGACAGAGGAAGACAGGTTTCCACAGGACATTGGTGGTGCCCAGTGGGCCCCACATGAACTGACTGCACCCCAACTTTTGTTCCAGAATGTTCTACAATATGCCAGCATTCTATGGCAGACACAAGGCTCCTGGAGGTCAGCAGTGTCCACGCTGCACTGTGGTACCAAAAGTGGATAGGGTAATTTTTTGAGCATGGTGTGAAGACAGCTGCAGCAAGATTGCCCAGAATGGAACACACTCGGTAGCGTTGTCCATCTTGATTACATTTTCAGGGAGAGTGCAACCTTGCGACTTTCTTTCCCACCACAGCAGGTTGACAGAAATCAGTTTTGCTGCGATAACAACCACCGTTGTTAACGACAGAGCTGTCTGCAGTTTGCTTCCAGCCATATCAAAGCCAAGTTAGACTCTATTATATTGTATAATCCTGCTAATTTAA